AATTTAAGTCTTTAGTGTTAGAATCAAATACTAGCATCTAGCAGATTGTCTGAGTCACAGTAAGAACTCAACACATGTCTGCTAAACCATACGATCAAAAAAGTCCTGGAAGACACACACTGCAGATATTCAGAAGTGTCTTCTTTTATTCTCAGAATCTCAAGGGATTCATCAAATTCTGCAGTTGAGAAAAGAAAGTATCAGTAAAGTATCAAATTTTATAAGGTGTTCATTATAATAGAAATTTTGTTTTAAAAATTTATAAAATAAGCCAGTTTACCCTGTATATAAATCTACTTAGTAAGTTATTATCTATTAATAGTTAATACTTGACAAATAACTCTAGAATATAGAGGGAAAGTAATTTGTTATGTTCACCACATTTCTAGGGTCTACTATAATACCTGGCACACAGTAGGTACTCAATCAATACCTTTTAAATTATTAATGAATATGTATAAATGAGAATTCTACCATGAGCAGAAACACCAAAGAATGTAAAAGCTATAAAAGTAAATTCCTGGTGGCCAGTACTGTGGTATAGCGGGTAAAGCCACCTGCAGTGCCAGCATCCCATATGGGCGCTGGTTCGAGTCCCGGCTGCTCCTCTTCTGATCCAACTCTGCTATGGTCTGGAAAAGCAGCAGAAGATGGCCCAAATCCTTGGGCCCCTGCACCCTTCGTGGAAGAACTAGAAGAAGCTCCTGACTCCTGGCTTTGGATTAACACAGCTCTGGGCCGTTGCAGCCATCTGAGGAGTGAACCAGCAGATCTAAGACCTCGCCCACCCCGCCTCTGCCTCTGCCTCTTTGTAATTCTGCCTTTCAAATAAATAAATAATTCTTTTTTTTAAAGTAATTCCTGGAGATTAAATATAAATACACTTCTCATACCAAATAAGGCCAGCATTTTTATATCTAAAGTGGTGATATGCTGACAGAGTAGACCTGTGTGGGAGAACATTAGTTCGGGTTAGGGAATGGTGAGTTTGAGGACCTGGGTGGAGACACACTACAGCACCTCTGGGTCTTGAGCCCAGCAGAGGTCAGGGTCACGTGTATCTTGGGATCAGCAGCATGGGAGGAGAAAGTACGGCATAACAAGAATACCGAGGATGGGCGGAGAGAAGAGCCTGCAAAACTCAGTGAGAGAAAGAAGTCAGGGAGCGTCGAGTCACATGGCCAGGGCAGGAGGCATCGAGGTCATCACTAGGCAGTCAAGTAAGGGAAGGAATAAAAAGCATTAAAATTGAGGTCAAGGCAATATTGGCAAGCACAGTGTCGCTAAGTTGGTAGAAGGCGCAAGTCAAAGCGGACTGAATGAAGAAGTGAGTGATGGGGCTGCCATTGTGGCATAGTGGGTAAAACTGTCACCTGCATGCCAGCATCACATATGGGCGCCAGTTTGAGTCCTGGCTGCTCCACTTCCAATCCAGCTCCCTGCCAATGGGCCTGGGAAAGCAGTGGAAGATGGCCCAGGTCCTTGGGCCCCTGCACCCACATGGGAGACCCAGAAGTTCTTGGTTCCTGGCTTCAGCCTGCCCCAATCCTGTTCGTTGCAGCCATTTGAGGAGTGAGCCAGTGGATGGAAGATCTCTGTCTCTCCTTCTCTCTATGTGTGTAATTATGCCTTTCAAATAAGTAAAATGCTTAAAAAAATGTGTTGTCTGAGTAAGTAGAGATGGCAAAGGGACAGGCGCTGACACTAGAGGAAGGGACAACAGCATCACAGGACAGATTCTGAGGGAAGCCCATCCACCCACCCGTCCACCTCTCCAGTTTTAGGATTTTAAGATAGAGGAGAGTAGGCGTGCTGGAATGCCAGAGAGGGTCTACGAGGAAGAGGATGAACAAGACAGAAGGCACTTGGAGATCCACACAGAAACCAAGGAGGCAGAGGAAGGATGGAGAAAAAAGAAACCCTTCCATGAAAGAGGGTGTTTGGACACTAGGGAGCAGGGCTGACATGTGAACCAGAAAGGACTACTGGATAATCAAACAGAAATCGTTTTCTGGGGATACTTTACGGTAGAGACTGCCGAGGTAGGGAGACTTGCTAAACACGTACAGGGTGGAATCAGGGGAGCAAAGGGTCATTAGATCCAATTTTAGGAAACTCAGAAGAGAATTCCCACCAGTGCCCTGTTAAGCCTGAAGCCAGCATGCCCTCCAGGGCTAAGGAGGAAAGACGGACTGGGAGCAGACCTGCTGGCTTAACAGTTAGGTTGAACACAGCTGGGCTGTATTCAGCAAACAACAAAGGGACCTAACGACCACTTCCCCACTTGGGCTTGCACCCACACAACTAAGCGCTCAAAAGTTATGGATTCAGATTGGGAGCCTCTTCGTTTCTGGGAGAGACGGCTGTTGGCCTGACTAGCAGGAAACACCAGAGTCATGACACGGCTGATTTAGGCACATGACACTTCTGTCTAATTTGTATTGATCGACTTTGAGTTGTTTCTGTTTAGTCTTGGTTTTGGTTCTGTTTCCAACTATTCCAAAGGATCACACACACACACACACACACACACACACAATGCCTACAGATAAGGACTCTGTGGGCAATTTTTCATAACACCTAGCACACAGGAGTCCTCAACAAACGTGGACAGGGTGAATGGGCAGAGAAGGAATGGCTCCGCGGAGATCCAAAGGTGACCAGCACCTCTCTCTGTGCCAGGGACTCCCACACCTCCACAAGCCGAGGATCCCCTGAGAGTACGCTGAAGTCTATGGCCCCCTCTCAGTAATGCTGTAAACACACAGTTATAGGAAAATATAAAAAGAAACTGTGACATCACCACAAATGGGCTTGGTTTATCCAGCTGCAGGCTTCTCTGTAGAGCGATGTGGCTGGGTGAGTTCACCAGCTCCTATGGGTGTTTGGTTCTTCCTGCTCTCAGAGAGGAATCCTCTATTCGCCCTCCCTGGAAGCCATCAGGCCCAAAGCGGTGGTAAGAGGCCTTGGGCACAGCCCAGTACTGTGGGTCACTTTCCTGTGCTGCCAGCCTCAGCAGTGCCCATCTCTGAACCCTCTCTGACTACTGGACCTTCTCAGTCTTCTCTGAGGGTGAGAGGGTGCCTCTGTCTGTGTGAACAGGGGCAGGAAGGGAGCTGGGGGCTTGCCCTGTCTTGTAGACACCTGCAGCCAACCCGCTGGGCCCTTAGAGCACCTACCTGTGGGGAGCAACTGGGAGAAACTCGGACTAGACTAAGTTACTGGAATTAAGACTTATTCTATGCATCTGCTCTCCCACAATATGGCACTGGGAGAGGAGGAAACAGCTTCTACACAGCTGCCTCCAGTTCAACCAATAAACTGTAGGACCTGCTCCTGATTGGAGGAGAGCAGCGTACTCGGCATCTGGGTAGCAGAGTTGGGATTGGTGGAAGAGGACTATAAAGGAGGAGAGAGACAACATGCACCAGGAACATCTAAGGGGAACATCTATCTGAAGGAACACCTGTGCAGCCCCCGAGAGAGCCGGCCGGCGGTGTGCCGCTCCCCCGCAGAAGTGGGGAAAGTGGCAGGGGGAACCGCCCTTCCACGGAGGTGGAAGGGACGGTAGCCAACCCGGGAAGAACCAGCAGCAAACCCGGGGAGGGCCGAGCAGACAAAAGAACAGCGCAGGGTCCTGTGTCGTTCCTCCACGAAGACAGGGAGTGACACCTACCCTCCTGCTCTGAGGGACGCAGCAGTTCTCAGGCGCCAGGGGTGCAAATTAACCAGCTTTGGGCTTCTCACACATGGCAAAGGATTCAGGGGCTTCCGGGAGCCTAAACAGTCCCGCCAGCCTCTGGTTCCTGCTCCAGACTGTGCCTGCCTGCTGCCCACTGTTGGCCCCTGGCTTTCACCGCAGAGGGCTTCCCTCAGGAAGCATAGGAAAGGTGCTTGGCTTGCCGAAGCAGCCACCCATGCTGTTACAAGGGAGCAAGACATCTTACAGACCAAACTTGAAAGTCACCAATCAAAGACAAGCCATTTACTGTTACAACCACAGTTTCACGAAGGCAGATATCAGTTAGATTCTACTTATCATTGTATTGTCCAGTTCCTAGCATAGTGGCAATGGTCAGTAAATATTAAGTAATTGAGACCTTTAGTTTTTATAATTTCAGCACTTACCTTACTCACCTAGGATTGCTTTGGGAATATCCCAAAAAGCAATCAGAAATAAACAAATAGACCTAATTTGGAACCAAAGAATGATGTTTTACAATAACAAACTTCTTCACTGCAAAAAGTTTACTATGATCCTGTATTCCATTCCAACGAACTCCTGAATAGAAGTTAAATTGGAATTCAAATCTACTTAGTTATATTGAGTAACTAATGTTGTAATAATGTAATTTTATTATAACTGCTACATAAATAGTATTTAATCACTACAGATATACAATTTTACATGTCATTAAACGTATTCATAATATTAAACAAGTTCCAATTAATACTGCATACATAAAGTGCTCTACATTTAAAATCTGCATATTAGCTACTATATCTTATTTCATTTTGAGCAAAAGACAACAAGATTATTAAAGAATCAGAACTAGCAGAGCTTTTTCATTCCTGTCAAGTGAATCTAAAAGGCCATTCTAGCACGTCCTACGTTATGACTGTAATGTCACTCTGTGCTTCGTTTTATGATCTCTTTTGGCTACCATCTAAGCCACTATGCTCCCCAAAGAACAGGAAGGTTATTTGACTTTTCAGTTATATCTTACACGGGGAATGGTAAATGCATAGTTTTTCTAACTGACAAATTCTGATAGAGCCATGAAAGGTTTATTTGTATTCCAACAGGCTGTTCCATGGTCATTTTAAACTGAAAATATTTATAGTAACTGATGCCAAAATGTTTCCCTAGACAGACCTGCACACAAGCCCATAACCCACATCACCATGTCTGTGAAATGTCTATGTCTGTTCTGTAGCTACTTTTTCATCCTTGTTTACATCCCGTTATTACTAACTTCAAATTGAAATGCAATACTCACTTCATCAGCCACAAACTCCTTACTCAGACCAAAATCTGTCAGCACCACATGGCCGTTAGAATCAAGTAGAATATTCTCAAGCTTAATGTCACGGTATATAATGCCCAACTGTGAAAACAAACACATAGGTATTTTAAAATAATTTCCAAAAAAGTCATTAGGACAGTCTTTTGAATCTACATTAACACAAAAAGGCACTGCTCTCGGCATGCTCGGGTGGCTCTCGGTGCCAGTCAGGGCCACGCCCTCTCTCCCGGTTCAGGAGTTGGCCCCCTGCACCTCCCCAACGTTACGTCTTCCTTCGCAGTGCCATGAGGGACCGCCCCCGATGGAGCAGCATCTCAGTGGCTTCCTGGTGACCACGGCTTCTTCCTGGCTCTAGGCTTCTTCCTGGCTCTCACTCCAGATGGCCCTCTGGTGTCTGTGTCACCAAGACACCAGTGTCCTTCACTTCCCAAGGGCTGCAGGAGGCCCTCCTGTGCAACCGATTCACACGCTGTCCCTTCCTGGGGAGTCCCGTGGCTCCCAGGTCTGCACGGCCCCTACCCACGAGTGACTGATACTCGCAGGGTCCTTCCTGTTTGCCAGCTGTTCTCCTACCCTACTATTCTTCATTTCTTATGCATTCATCCAGTACCGAGTACAATGCCATGTGTCAAATAGGGAACTAAGAAAGCCTTGCTGAATAACAGGCTTTTAAACAATAAGACTGAGGCTGGCGCCGCGGCTCACTAGGCTAATCCTCCGCCTAGTGGCGCCGGCACACCGGGTTCTAGTCCCAGTTGGGGCGCTGGATTCTGTCCCGGTTGCCCCTCTTCCAGGCCAGCTCTCTGCTGTGGCCAGGGAGTGCAGTGGAGGATGGCCCAGGTGCTTGGGCCCTGCACCCCATGGGAGACCAGGAAAAGCACCTGGCTCCTGGCTCCTGCCATCGGATCAGCGCAGTGCGCTGGCCGCAGCGCGCCGGCCGCGGCGGCCATTGGAGGGTGAACCAACGGCAAAGGAAGACCTTTCTCTCTGTCTCTCTCTCTCACTGTCCACTCTGCCTGTCAAAAAATAAAAATAAAAAAAATAAACAAATAAACAGTAAGACTGAAGATAACAAGTTAATTTTAGCCAATCTTTAGTTCTAAAAAAGCAGAGATAATCAATCAAATAACATTTTCTATAGTTCTCTATTCCATTTTGCATGTAAGTTTGCCAAAGCACATCAGCTAATACATCAGCTACGTTATATAAACAAATCTAGCCACGTAAGAGGTGCCTGATCTGCATGAATTTGGTTCATGCTTTTAGTTACGTTGGCTTGAATTAAATGTTTTAAGCTTACAAATATTGCTCTTCTCAACACTAAGTACTATATGAAAAAGCAGGGTTTTTTTATAATCTCTTAAAATTAGAAACAGAACTACACAAAGAAAAACACTAGGAATTTTCCTCCAAGAACTTTAATAGTGTTTTACATGGAAAACATACAGACTCTACATTGAACAGATACTTGGCCTGAAACATTACATGCATCTAACAACCAATAGCATATTTTTTAAAAAAGATCTCATTAGAAAAAGATTACGGGAAAACTAAATTCCTATATGCTTAATTCATCATTTCCTGGGAGACTTCCATTTTTGTCTCTTCCTGTGAAACCTTGTATAAGTAGCTACATCGAGATTAATACTGCTGGCTTTGTGTTGTATGAATCTGAATCTTTTCAGGACAGGGAGACCAAGCAACATGCAGCCGAGCTACATTGCTTCTCACTCCACATCAATTATATAAATACATTCAGTTCTCTCTCTCTATATGTGTGTATATGCTCTTTACTTCTGTGTTTGAATAGTAATGAATATTCATGGACTTTCCTTTAATAAACAAATTTAAAAGAATTAAAGTTTCACACATCAAAACCTGAATTTTCTTGCTTACCTAATCAGGGCTTTGTATTTTATTGTTTTTACTACAGTATTTCTGATGATTCATACCATCGTTTTTATATTACAAAAAGTTACCTCTGGGCCAAGCATCTGGCCCAGCTGGTTAAGGTGCTAGTTTGGATACCCATGTCCCACAGTGAAGAGCCAAGCTCCGGCTCCCAATTCCAGCTTCCTGCTAATGCAGACCCTAGGATGCAGCAGTGATAGTCAAGTCATTGAGTTCTTGCAGCCATGTGGGAGACCTGGACTGAGCGCTCAGCTCCTGGCTTCAGCCCTTGAGGCCTTTGTAATTATCTGGGGAGTGAACCAGCAGATGGGAGCACTCGCTCTGTCTCTCAAATACATGAAAAAAAATCTATTTTTAATTACATACAATAACCCCAAGCATACATTTCAAAGGTCTTTGTAGACTACTCCTGGTCCGATCCATTTCTTGAATAAAGATGTCTTACCTATTTTATATCCCACAAAAACAACCGTAAGCATGAAGGTTGTCACTACATGGATAATCCCAGCAGAAGGACCAAGGTCGGTGCCAGGATTTTGGTACAAAGTCCTGCTTGGCTGCCCCTCTCCTCTCCACTGAGCCTCAGCCTGCCTCCCCACTCTCTCCACCCGGTGCCTTTTCTCTCCTTCCTTCCTTGTTCTGCGGTCCTTTCTCTCACTCTTCTGTTCTGAACCATCTTCCTCCCTCTGTGTAGTTTTGTTTCTGTTTGGAGTGAGAAGAACCCTTTTCTTGATTCTAACTTCTTTTACTTTTCATTTTGCTTTTCTTTTTAAATTTTTATTTGTTTTCACTATTTTTACTTAAAGGCAGAGCGACAGAGACTGCCAGAGACAGGTGTAGACCATCTGCTGGTTTCATTCCCCAAATGCCCACAATAGCCAGGGCCGGGTCAGGCTGAAGCCAGGAGTCCAGAACTCAATCCAGGTTTCTCACATGGGTGGCAGGGACCCAAAGTCCTTAAGCCATCACCTGCTGTCACCCAGGGAGCTGGATCAGCGGCACAGGGAGCCCAAACTCCTCCAATATGGGGTGCGTGGATCCCAAGTGGCAGCATCCCACCTGCTGAGCCAAATGTCCTCTGCCCCCTAATCTCCTATCTTCCCGTCATCTTTCCTCACAGCCTCTCCCACTGTTGCCTCCATCTGGCTACTCCAACCTTCTTGTCCCATTAAAAACCTCATCCTCCCCTGCCTTTGCCCTTCATCTCTCTCTCTCTCTCTCTCTCTCTCTCTCTGCTTTATTATCAGCACTTTAGTCTGTTTATTTTAAGCTTGGGTAGGACCTGAATACAACATGACAGAGAAGAGTGGCTTCTTGATGGACCCGTATTTCCCAATTTAGTGACTCAGGTCTCATTGGTCTCCACAGGGTCTGACATACCTTTGGGAAAAATCATGTTGGTAATTTTATCTTGGAGGAAAAACACACAGGCCAGTAGTCCACATAATGGTTATTCGCTTCTACAATAATACTGCCTCATTAAGGAAAAAAATGGTCAAAATTTCATGAATCAAGATTAGTAATGGTAATCATTTTAAAAAAAAGTTCTAAATCAGTTTTTACAGAGTTCAAACTGTCATGGATACAAATTCTATTTAAAAGTTTTCAGCACTGAGTTCATGCTAACCGGATGAGAAAGGTGGGGCTTTGGACCACACAGGGTACTAGGGACAAAACCAAATGGAAGAGAAAGCCAGGGTGAAGGGTGAGAAATAATTGTTACTCCCCACTTGATCAGGAGACACCATGAAGATGGACAGGCAGAGTCTACAATGGAGTATGTCACAAGTGAGGAAACACACATTATGACTTGTGGTTTCATTTGACAGGCTATTTTAAGCATTAAAATATTTTAATCCTACTGATATTTTGTAGTAACGATTAGGATTTTTTTTTTTTCCACAAAGAAAGCCAAAACACTGCTCAGGTTTAATCTGCACCACAACGACAATAGGAAAGTAGATTTTTCAAGAAGGAACTATTAGAGTGAGAAAACTGGGAACATTCTGGAAGTGTGCATTCACAACCACCACCTAGACAAGGACATGCAAAACACGAGCTCCTTGGGCTGCAGACTTCGCCCTGCGAGGCGTCTTACCTTGTGGAGGTGTTCCAGGGCGAGTACGATCTCTCCCACGTAGATCTGCACCTCGTGCTCTGTGAACCGCTCTCTCTGAGAAAGGTGAGTAAAAAGTTCTCCACCATTTATATAATCTAGAAACGAAATACAGTTTTCTTTCTTTGACTTGCATTCATAAACGAAAGGAAGTATTTCCTTTTTATCACTCTGGATTCACCATGAGGCCCTGATTTGGAAATATGGTTTGTTGTACAATTCTTAGCACATGGTTTCACATAGAATATATGACTAGATTCATACAGTAATAGTTTCATAAGGTAATGATTACACAGAGTAATGCCATTAAACATTACATGAAATTCACATTACATGAAATTCACAGATATTTAAACATATGTTCCTAAATACAACACATCAGGAACCTCTGCCATCCTCATACAAGAAACACTTGGCTTACTACACACTAGCAGCCCCTCAGCTGCTACAGTAGCTAAAACAAAACTCCCAGCTTTGCTTCTGTGATGGCTGACAGTCACTGTTCTGAGGACCTGTAGGCAGACACCCTGTGTTCTAGGTCTACCTGTGTGCACTTCAACACACGGGCAGCAGGCAGCAGGGAGCCTTCTGACTGCCCCACAGGGCCCCAAAGAAAAAGGAGTAAAAGTGGCCGAATCAAAGCACCTGCACCTAGAAGAGCCCAGTTTCCCTTGCAGTTTGCCCTGTCTGCCCCAAGGGTATGGAACAATGAAATGGAGACAAAAGGGCTCTAACAGGAAATAAACAAGAGCATGTTACTTAAATAAAATGATGTTGAAAACTGGCTCTAAGGTGACATCTATTGATAAAGTGATAACTGAATGCTCCCCCTTTTAGGTAACAACCACACAGGTGACTATTAGCAATTGCTCAAAATCATTCATGCTAAAAACTTTTGTTTTAAAGATTTTTTGTTTATTTATTTGAAAGACAGAAAGAGAGGTAGAGTCAGAGAGAGCGAGAGGTCTTCCATCTATTGGTTCACTCCCCAAATGACTGCAACGGCCAGAGCTGAGCTGATCCAAAGCCAGGAGCCTCTTTTGCGTCTCCCACATGGGTGCTGGGGCTCAAGGACTTGGGCCATCTTCTACTGCTTTCCCAGGCCACAGCAGAGAGCTGGATCGGAAGTGGAGCAGCCGGGACTCGAACTGGCGCCCATATGGGATGCTGGTGCTGCAGGCTGGGGCTTTAACCTGCTGCGCCATAGCACCGGCCCCAAATTTTTTTTTTTTTTTTTTTTAAGATTGATTTATCCATCTGAAAGGCAGAGTTACAGAGGAGCAGAAAGAGAACGTCTTCCACCTGCTGGTTCATTCCCCAGATGGCCGCAAGGACCAGAGTTGCACCGATCCGAAGCCAGGAGCCAGGAGCTTTCTCAAGGTCTCCCACGCAGGTGCAGGGGCCCAAGGACTTGGGCCATCTTCCACTGCTTTCCCAGGCCATAGCAGAGAGCTGGATTGGAAGTGGAGCAGCAGGGACTTGAACTGGCACCCATTTGGGATGTTGGCACTGTAGACGGCAGCTTTACCCACTATGCCACAGTGCCGGCCCCAGCTAATAAACTTTTTGCTAAGTACATGTTGCAAAATTTTTTAACTATAGTTTCATTAGAAATTAAACACTGCTGCATTTGTATGAAACCATTTATATACAAACTACAGTCACAACTAGAGTTTAAAGCTTTATTTTCTAGAAAAATGAAAAGCATATGTCCTAAAGTATATTCATTTGTCAATTTTACCAGAGTTTGATAAAAGAACAGGCAAATTCTTCATGAATTCACAAATTTCTTCCTTTATCTTCCCAGTTAAGCTTTAAATTCCGAAAAAACGCAGATGCAACAGAATTTAAAGAACTCTAATAGCTGGCTGTTTTGCAATGTATTTTTCAAAGCACATGTCAGCAAAAAGCATTCCCTCCTAAGGCTGCTGTATTTTGCCAAGAGGTTTTAATTATATCTGAACACAAAGCTAATTATTAAAAAGGTGTAAAGGAACACAGCATTCCTGCAAAGTAACAATGATTTTTTTTTCTATTTTTAAGTGGTTATTTACCTAACCCTACCACTAAGATATTGAAGTATAAATTATGCATAAATGGTTCCATAGTCAGTCACAGCACAGAAAGAGGCAGCCATGTATCAAGTGACAAACTCCTACACAGCCTTGAGTGTCCAATTCAACCAGCTCACCTTCTATGGGCATCCAGCCGAGCTGATCACTTCCTCCTATGCTACCATCCTACTTATTAAAGACGCCTACCACTGCAATTATCTTGCCACACTGCAAATGTTTATTTGCAGACTTGCTTTCTTCGCTAAACTCAGTTTTTAAAAGTCAGGATCAATATATTCTCTACTAAATACCCAACATGGTGTGTGCATGCAGAAAGCACTCAATAGTGGCTTATTGCATTAACAACTGAACACAGATTCTTAATACTGGGATATACATTAAATATGGCTTCTGAAAAAGATCGCTCTGAAACTCAAAAGGCCAGTCCATTTTTTTCTTACAGGAAACACCATGTCCTCTTGTCTCCTGAGGCAAGGGGACACAGTCAGAACCACCAGGGCTTTGCAATTGTTGGACCTGAACTAGAGAGACACTGGCTCCACTGCTGTCCTGCTTCGAGCAGATCAGTCTCCGAGCTTCAGCTATTTACCAACAGAATAACAATAGCCTAGAGGTGACTGCTGCTCAGGGTATAGAAAGGGTTCTGTTTTACATTTACGAGGAGGTTGGGAAAAGTACAAATCTAAGGAGACAGACCTAAAACGTGAGGGAACCCACTTCTTGCGTTTACAGTGGATTGACCTGACGAGCCAGCATGAAGGCTTGTCCTAAGATAAGCATATATTTATTTACTTTGTAGGTTCGTGCTGAACACTGTACAAGTCTTCGTGGTCCAGGCTATAACAGTGGTGGAGATAACAGCAGACGTGATGGCCCCTGGAGTGTCATTATGACGTACAATAATCCATGGCAAAGATAAGAGAGGTTAGTGGGAATCTCTGTATCAGGCAGGCACTTGGTACTTATACTATTCTGTTTGGCATGCAATGGTATCTCATTACGGTTTTAATTGGCAATTTTCCCGAATAACTGATACTCTTCATCCTTCCCTGTTTCACTGGACATTTCTGTATCTTCTGTTGTTAATTGCCCATTAAAGGTTTTTGTGTGTGTGCGTTTGCACAAGTACCCATTTTGGTTTTTTTTTCTTAATTGAGGTATAATTCACATACCATGAAATTAACCCATGTGAAGTGTAAAATTCACTGCCTTTTTGTTAGTATATCCAGAGTTGTGCAACCATCACCCTAGCCAATTATAGAACAACGTCACAAAAATTTGCCCTGAGATTTTCTCGGAAGATTTACAGTTTTAGCTCTTTCCTTTAGTCTTTCATCTACTTTGAGTTAACTTTTATATACACTGTGAGGTATGGGTCCAGTATCACAGTTTTGCATGCAGCTGTTCTAGCATCAAGAGTTAAAAATATTGTTCTTTCCTCACTGTCACCCTTGTAAAAAAAAAATCACTTGACTTTCAGTGTGCATATTTCTAGAATTTCAATTCTATTCCACTGATTCGTGCTGACCTTAGGCCAGCACCATGCTTCCTCAATTATGCAGCTCTGCAGTACGTTTTGAAATTAGGAAATATGACTCTTCCAAGTTTATTCTTCCCTTTCATAAGAGTTTTTAGCCCTTGATTTTCCATGCACATTTTTTGGGTTACCTTGCCAACTTCTATGAAGACATAAGCCAAACTTTATAAAAGGTTGCGTCAATCTGTAAATCAATTTGGAAGATAGTGCCACTTGAACAATATTCAGGCTTTCAACCCATGGACACGGGTGTCTTTCAAGTCAGAACTATAGAGAGAGAGGGAGAGACAGGCAGATCTTCCAGCCACACTCCCCAAGTGGCCACAATGGCCAGAGCTGAGCCAGGCCAAAACCAGGAACTTCATCCAGGTCTCCCAAGTGGATGGCAGAGGCCCAAGCACTCAGACAATCTTCCACTGCTTTTCCCAGGCCATTAGCAAGAAGCCAGATTGGAACTGGAGCATCTGGGACAGGAACTGGCACTCATATGGGATACCAGTGTTGCAGGTGGAAGCTTTACCACAACACCAGCTCCTACTAGGAATATCTTTCTATTTATTTAAGTTTCCTTTTATTTTTTTCAACAACATTTTACAGTTTTCAGAGTATACATTTTGTACTTTGGTTAAATTTATTCCCAAGAGTTTTATCTTATTTGATTCTAGAGTAAATGGAATTGTCTTCTTAATTCTATTTCAGATTGTTCACGGCAAGTATACAGGAACCCGATTGTTTCTGTACGTGGCTCTCACATCTGGCCGCTTCGCTAAATCTGTTTCTAGTTCTTGTTGTTAGTCTGTGGATTATTTACACTCTGTATTCACAAGCTCATGGCACTTTCAAACAGTTTTTATTCTTCCTTTCCAACATGAAGACTTTTGTGGCCATTTTTTGCCCACAGTGTTGAATAAAGTGGTGAAAACTGATATCATTTTTTTTGTTCTTGGTTTCAGGGGAAAGTATTCAGTCTTCACCATTAAATATGAAGTTTTTCATCGAAGCATTTTTATCAGGTTGAGGAAGTTCACTTCCATCTCCACTTTGTTCAATTCGTGTGTTTTTTTTAAGGGCAGAGTGGACAGTGAGAGAGAGAGACAGAGAGAAAGGTCTTCCTTTTGCCGTTGGTTCACCCTCCAATAGCCACCGCAGCCAGCACGCCACGCTGATCCAAAGCCAGGAGCCAGGTGCTTCTCCTGGTCTCCCATGGGGTGCAGGGCCCAAGCACTTGGGCCATCCTCCACTGCACTCCCTGGCCACAGCAGAGAGCTGGCCTGGAAGAGGGGCAACCGGGAAAGAATCCGGTGCCCCAACTGGGACTAGAACCCGGTGTGCCTGCGCCGCAGGCGGAGGATTAGCCTATTGAGCCACGGCACCGGCAATGTTTGCTTTTTTTAAAAAACTATGGAGTGTTGAATTTTGTCCTTTATTCTATATAATCTGGTATAATAGAGGCTTATCTGCTATAATAAAGGTTTTCATTCTTTAT